TAAAAAGGGACATGAGTTCTCCTTATTGGTGTCCCCTTGAACCTACCAAACCCTCAATCCTAAACCCTCAATCTTAAACTCAAGATGATACATTACTCTATGTTTATGCGAAGAATAAATTCATACGAAAACATAAAGTATATAAACCTTAGAGGCTAATTGCTAGGCCCATGTGAAGAAAAAATTCCTACGAAGGCGTCGCTTTAACCACACTTAAAAAGTTGGAGCTCGGGTATAGAGCTTGAAACGAAAATCCTTTTATTTTTTTTTAAAAACCTGAAATCATTAGAAAACAGTTAGTTCAACTATTTATTTGAAAAAAGTCAAAGATAAATAAAACGGATAAAAATAAATTTAAAATTTAAAGTTACAATTTTTACTTAAGAAGATAACCAGGTAATTGATTTTTGGCCTAACTCTCTCGCGTCCCCAGTGGAGTTGTTGTCACAATAGTCCTTCGGGTGGTCTCGAGTTCTCGTCTCGACTTGGAATCATGATGGAGTAGCCACTGATCATTTCGAATGAGGTAGATCGGACACCTACTTACCATTTACCGGGTCTGTGTCTTACCAGTGATTTGTCAAATTCAAGAGTCATTTACAATCGAGAAAGAATGAACACTATCGAGTTGCCCTTTCGGTACAACGCGATTACTGAGTTACCTTAATCATGAAAATTTTAAGTTTAAATAAAAACTTAAGAGTTCGATGATGGTTATTTATCTCTGAAAATGATTATTACAAATAAAATAAATTAAGATTATAAAAAATAAATTGTGTCTAACCTGCATGAATGAAGTCAGAGGGTCACAAATATCAAATAGAAATGATATATAAAATAAAATAGTCCGACAACAAATAAATATATTGTAAAAGTAACAAGGATAAAATAAACAAAAAAATGTCATTAACACAAATAATCAAAAATGAAAAAAATACAAAGGATAAAATAAAAATAGATCTTTATGGTAATAAATTAAGCAAAGAAAGTCAAGTAAAAAATCCAAAAATAAACCAAACGTAACAAAGAAAAATGAAAAAAAAATCAAAATAAATTAGCCAATAAACAACAAGATTACATGCTTTAAATAAAGGATAAAAATGGAAAACAACAACTTAATGAAATTAAAGATTCAATTCATATTAAAAATGAAAAAATCAAAGTAAAATGGGAAAGCAATACGACCATGTTAAGGTAATTTTTAATAGAAAAATAAAAAAGATAAAAAAGAATTTAGATAAGATTAAAATTTAAATTTAAAATGAAATTAAGAAAGAACGACTAAATTAATCTTTTTAAGGAAATAAAATGGTTCATAATAATAATAATAATAATCGTCGCTTACATGGATCTCATTGGGATCCGAATCGGGTCATAGGCTCATTTGATCGAATAAGAAAATTTAAAATTGTATCAAAATAAATAAATAAAATAAAAATTAAAAACTTTTCGCATTCAAGATCTACCATCGATTTTCCTCGAGAAGCCTCAAGGCTAAATGTATGAAGATTCGTGTGAAAGACTTTTCCTTTTTCATTGGTTCCCTTCTTCGATGGAGTTTTAAAAAAAAATAAAGATTGTGATTGACCAAACGAAAAAATAAAGATAAAAATATAAAAAAATATTAGTTTTCACTAATAAATCTCAAAGAAGACTAAATCTATGAAGATTAATTCAAAAATATTTTTTCCTAGTTTCTCGATTGTTTCTCATCTAATAATTTAAATAAAAAGAAAAAAAACAAAGAGAAAAATAAATTGAACAACGAAACAAGAATAAAAATAATTACCATGGTTAAAAGTTTTCTTTTATTGCTTGAATCTTTTATGTTACAATCCTTGGTGACATTACAAAATCAAGAGTGCATATTTATATGCTCTCAAAAACTCGAAAAGAGAAAATCCTAGCATCTTTTCGTTAATGTTAGATACACTAATTAAAAGAAAAAATTATAAAATAATAAAAATACTAAATTGCCTAAATACATTATGGAAAGTATAAAGCTGAATTTAGTTACAAATATTCAATAAAGATATTATAAATTCGTAATAAATTAAAATTCTCGTATTGGGCTTGTATCTAATTTTTTGCACGCATTACCTTTACTAAAATAAGCATATCTTGAGTTTCCGACATTCGATTGAAACTTTTTAAAATGCATTGAAAAGCTAACTGAAAGTCTTTCATATATCAAGAAGACATCATGTCATGAAAACGTTTGAATCTTGCTTGAAAATTTGTTTCAAATTGATTGATATTTCACGCTTCAAAATCAACCTCAACAAAATATTTAGGCCTTGAAAAAAAACTAGACCAAACAAAAATAGATGTATGCATTTTGTATATAACTATTTTCATTCACCCACAAGTGTGATAAAATCTAATCACAAATAAATTTATTAAATGTAAATATTTAATATATTTAATGCACAAATTATTAATTGAAAAAAATCTACCGCATGTTCATCATTGTTAAATTTAGCGAAATTTTTAATTAAAAATTGAATTTAAATATATTTAAATATGTAATATTTTTATTTAAAATATTAAAAAAATGTATGTTGAATAGATGAACAATCAAGAAGGATCACGTAAGGAAGATGGATGCCGCAGAAATGAAAATGTTTCGATGGGCATGTGGTAGGACTCTGTGGGACATGACACCAAACACTGCAATTAGGATGTCCTTGAGGGTGGTGCCTGTATCCGAAAAGTTGAGGGAGAGAAGACTACGGTGGGTTGGGCATGTTCTTAGGCGACAACCGTCGGATGCGGTCAGGAGGGTAGAGTCGATTACAACCGATGGTGCTAGAAGGAGAGGACAACCAAGGAGGAAGTGGATAGACTGCTTGAGATCTGATTTGAAAGATTTAGCCCTTACCGAGGACTTGACATCTGACAGGAAAGTATGGAGACTTAAGACCATGGTAGCCGAGTAGTGTAGGTCATAACAATAGGGTGTAGCATCTCTGTCTTCTTTTTAATTCATTTGTAGCAATTTCCATGACTTCTACATTTTTACGTTTCTGTCATTGGAATTTATGAAGGCTTAGAACTAAGGTAGCGGAGTACTGTTGCCTTAGTTTAGGTTTTAATCCATGTGACTTTATTCCTTCTCGTAACTTGCTATCGTTAACTACTGTGTATCATTCTCTTCATGTTTTCTCTTTTTAAATTTAGCCCGAACTTACGTTTCTGTCTATATGCAGAGATTTTTACGCAGGGATTTATTTACAGAGATTACTTCCCATTACAGACGCGCATATGTAGACTGCATATGAAGACTGTTCAACTATGTATTTATTTATTTATTTATTTATACATGCATTGCATTTTATCTTTATTTTTAAATTTTCTGACTTCTGGAGGTCTTCCACGGAAGTTGCTCTCAACCTGACGTTGGGGACAACCTACTACCCTACCTATTCTTATCCCATTGCATATGAGAATAGAGTTTTATTGTTGGTTTTGTTGTATGTTGAATAGATGAGATGAAATTATGCCAACAATCAACAAAGATAATAATGATTATGGTGAGCTAAGAAAGTACAAGCAGCCACCCCAACAATTGAAAAGTTTTCCTTTTTAACGCGTGATAGAAGTCCTTCCGATTACGTTTTAATTATGTTTTATCATTAGACATTAAATAAAAAAGTTAATAAATGGGTTCTTTGAATATTATGAATCTAAGGAGTTAATTACATCATATATCCTTAAACTATGACCCCTATTTTAAATTGATCCTTATATTTTTGAATATTCTAATTTCATTCTCAAATTACGACTCATTTTAAATTGGTCCTTAATATTTCGAATATTTCAATTCCATCCTCAAACCATGACCCTCATTCTTGGTTGGTCCTTAAACTTTTGAGTATCCCTATGTCATCAATAAACTAGCATTATATGTTAATCACGTTCGTTGTTAATAAAAACGTTAGGCTGATCTCTATGTTATATTTTTGGGGAAAAAAATAAAATTTATGTTAAATTATAGTTAATTTTTTTAATAAAATAACTATCAGTTTAAAGTAAACCTAATAAATATTATCATATTAAAATAGAGTAGTTAACTTGTTAATTGTTATAAAATAGAGGGACGAAACTCTTAATTATATCATAATATTTATATGAGCAAAGAAATTAGTTAAGAAAAGAAAAAGAAATATAAGTTTCTGTAAAACTCAGCGTTTCCCTTTGCTCCGTCGCATATTTTCTTCTCTTCTCAGGCAAATTTACAAGCTACTGTTTCTCTTCTTTTCATCAACGCTGCTCAAATATTTTTCTTCTTTTTGGGGTCTTGGCTTTCAGGTATTGCATCTTCTATTTCTTCATTTAAAGCTTCTGTTTTTTCCCCTTTACTTGTTCATATTTAAACCGATGATTTTTGGAAATTCCTTAGAATTTGGATTTAATTTTGATATTATCGAATACCCTTTTGTTCTTTGCGCTGAATTAGTGGTGGGTTTCATCTGAAAATGAAGCAACGTTGGTTACATTCGTTTCTTGACAAGAAGTTTCTTCTTGGCAATATGGGGTGAAACTTTTATGCATTTCTTGGTTTTCAATTCTTTCTGGGTTTGGGATTAACGAGTTGTTGTAGTGAATTAGAAGTGTGATTATCTATGATGGTGAAATTCGATCGATTCAGATTTCAGGGCGATGAAATGTATTGTGATGCCACGTTTTGTTTATAAATGTGCTTGGTTCTTGTTCTTGTTATATCATAAACTCAGGGTTTTGCAGATATTATGTTAAATATTGGAAGTGGCTGTTCCTTTCTTCTATGAATTTGCATATGCTTTATACCGATTTCAGAGACTCGAGCAGTGTAAAAATAATATCCTAGATCTTTTGTTTTTCATACTCGAACAATGTAAAGATAATATCCTGGATTTATACGGTGGGTTTATATTCAAGCAGAATTCATGAAATACATAAGTTAATAGACTCATTTTTTGTGGGGTTCAGTGCATTGTCATGTTTAGGTAAGTGCATGCGATCTACTAGAGGAAGGATTGTTTGTTAGCCATTACAGTCTCAGGTTCTCAGCTATGATAACTCATCTGCATTTTTGTCCTGATAAATTTTAACACCTATGCATTTTACAACAATGATTTAAGTTTTGATCTTATTTTATTTTTTGGAGGTTATTGCAGAGTTTTCTCATCTTGCGAGATCAGTTTGAACGACAAAAAACCTATTGCAACCAGCAATTGTAGTGTTTTAGAAGGCTGGACGTTTGAGTTAAATTCTCAATCAAAACTAATTGCTTGGAAAAGCTTTAACTTTCAACTGTAAAAATGTTGGTAAAGCTGGAACTTTGAAGTTTATTGACTTCAGATTGTAGCTTGGAACATAACATTTATATGATATGAGAAAAGTAAGTACCCGATAGTAAATATCCGAAGGTACTATCCACGTGCATCCTACTTGCTGAAAAGTTCGGAAGCAAGAAGTGTTAAATCAAAATTTATGTCTGAGAACATTCATTGTCAATACTTAAAAACTTTGTCTCCTTCATTCAACCCCACTTATTTTGTCTGCATCCTTTAGAAAGCATTCTGGCTTCTTCTACCTTTCCATCTTCTCATCCCTTTCATTAAGAAAATATCTTCTGATTCTAGGAGAAATTTAATGTAATAGAAACCAATAAATTTTATTATGAAAGCATCACACTTGAAGAAGGAAAGCAATGGAAAAAAAAATTTTCCTCCAAAGTTTGTGATGAGTTGGCCATGCTTTGGCGGTGAATTTCTTCCATGGTGATTTCAGTATCCATTCAGTGACTCAAGGAGCATTTTTTCTTGATTGTAAGAAAAATTTTAAAATTGATTTATAGCATTGTTTCTCCTTCATATAATGCATGATTGCTTTTTGTTTTTCCTTTTGTTGGTATTGGTGACATTGACTGACAATTTGATTTTCAATGAAAAAATGATGCTAATTGTGCTGCAATTGCTTCTAAATACAACTATAGTGATTCTATTATGTCATGATTCAACTGCACTTTGATTAATGTATTGCTTCCGAAATCCAAAATTATTGTTTTGGTTCTTACACACAAGTTTTAAAAATCCACTTTCAGATTGCATATTCCACTGCTTAGTTGACACAGCAAAACTTTGCGGTGAAGAACAATTGGATATGATTTAATCATCGTTAGTATGTCTGGATTAATTGAAGGCCTTCCCGATGCTGTTTCCCTTCAGTGCATAGCACGTGTTCCCTTCTACCTGTATCCTAAGTTGGAGGTTGTGTCTCGTTCATGGAGAGCTGCCGTTCGTAGCTCTGAGCTGTTCAAAGCTCGACAAGAGGTTGGCTCAGCAGAAGAACTTCTTTGTGTGTGTGCGTATGATCCAGAGAATTTATGGCAGATGTATGATCCCCTCCGTGACCTTTGGATTACTCTTCCCGTACTTCCCACGAAAGTCAGGCACCTTGCCCACTTTGGCGTGGTCTCAACCGGTGGAAAGCTGTTTGTGCTTGGTGGTGGGAGTGACGATGTTGACCCATTGACTGGGGACCAAGATGGGAGTTTTGCAACCAATGAAGTGTGGTCATATGACCCTATACTGCGTCGGTGGGCTGAACGTGCATCCATGATCGTACCCCGTGCCATGTTTGCGTGCTGTGTTCTGAAGGGAAAGATCATTGTTGCGGGAGGATTCACCAGCTGTAGAAAATCTATATCTCAAGCAGAAATGTATGATCTCGAGAAAGATGCCTGGACTCCGATACCTGATCTCCACCGCACTCACAATTCAGCATGCTCCGGATTCTTTATCGGAGGAAAGGTGCATGTCTTGCACAAGGGGTTGTCGACGGTGCAAGTCCTGGACCACATAGGTTCCGGGTGGACAGTAGAAGATTACGGTTGGCTCCAGGGTCCAATGGCAGTAGTACAAGGAACCCTGTATGTGATGAGCCATGGATTCATCGTCAAGCAAGAAAAAGAAGCTAGCAAGGTAGTGGTTTCTGCTTCCGAGTTTCGTAGGAGGATCGGGTTTGCAATGACAGGAATAAGAGATGAAATATACGTGATCGGAGGGGTAATCGGCCCTGATCGATTTAATTGGGATATCAAACCAATGTCCGATGTTGAAATCTTGACCGTCGGAGGCGATAGACCGACATGGCGTCAGGCAGCTCCGATGACAAAGTGCCAAGGAACAATTTTTGGATGCACGCAGCTAAGAATGTAAGTGTTTTTAGTAGTAGCTGGTTTTATTGTGAAAAGTGAACTCATATTGTTGAGTCATTGCAATTCCTCCCATTGGAGACGAGAAATGATCCTTCATTCTTATATCACCATATTTCATTTTGTAATCTTTTTTTTTTCCTTTAGTTTCAAAGTTTTGTCTTGATTAATCTGGATCGATTCGGGTTGCACACCTGACTTTGGTTGATAAGTCTTCTTGCGGAGATTTTCTACATACACAAGGACTTGAACTTGAGATTTTACTTAAACGATATCAAGCTGCTTACCACTTGAATCAATTTTATTGATAATCTTTGGTCTTTTTTTCGTTTTTATTTTTATTTTCGATTGTCTCGCAATTGATATTGATCCTTTATAAAAAAAAAAGGAAGTGACATGGAAGTTCATGCATAAAATATGGTAAAGTCTCACGGGCGACAACATAATATATGGTTAAGGAGAGGCGTTACCGGAAATGTTATTTATTTTTTAACATTTCTGGTAAAAGTTTACCTAAAATATTAGTATTTCTACCGGAAATGCTATTATTAGACGTTTTACCGAGTTTGTTAACATATTTGGTAAAGCGCTACCTAAATTATTATTTTTTCTACAGGAAATGTTAATATTGGACACTTTATTGGAAATGTTAAAAAACATTAATGTTTTAGGTAAAAAAACAAAGTTTTAGGTATTTTTTACATTATTTTTTTTACCGAAAATATTAAATAAAATAATAATATTTTCGATAGCGTCTTTCTTTAATCATATATTAAGACTACTTTAAGACAAAACTTCCTATAAAATATTGGGAAAAAGAGTGACAAAAGAAAAACATAGAACCTTGTGGTAATTGGCCGGAGAAGCTTAAAGAGAGCAAGTTAAGTCAAGATCTAGGGGTGTAAACCGTAAAAGAATCAAACTTAATAAGTAAAGTTATGTTTATGTTTGTTTATTTATTTTCAAGTATATTCGTATTTGGTTTATGATCGTTTTAACTTTTTAATATGATATTCGTTTATTTATTTTTGAATGTGTTCATATTTATTTTTTTAGCATTCATAAACATATTCATTCAACGTTCGTGAACATATTCAACAACCACCACTATTCTTAACCTTTGAGGCAAAGGTAAATGATGAAATAACACCACTAGTTCTTAATTTTCTTAAACTTTATAGTTTAAAATATAAAATTCACCTTATATTCAATTTAGTCTCATCTTAATAGATATTGATTTATTACAAAATGGTTAAACCGGTGAAGAAATACTTTAAACAAAAAAACGTAGTATTAAATTTGACCCATAAACTATATCTAAGACATATTACTGCAACCCTTAAAGAATTAAATCAAAACCTTTGTATTTCTTGACCCGAACACTCAAGTCCCCAATCAACACTTGAATTTCCCTCCAATCTTGTTGGGAAACTTGCTGGATTACTATAAATCATGTCATCAATCTCAAATCTCCCATAAGATTTTGTAGCTTAACAGGCGCAGAGAGTATCATTTGCAGGTTTTAAAACATGGGTTTTAATGGAGATTTGTAATTTTCCAACACCCTCATCAATGTTTATGCAAGAGCTGGAGATTTAATGATGCTGGGAGAAGAATAACATTAGCCTTACGGGGGCTTACCTAACAACGACACTTCAAGCTTAGTTTTGTATAGCCAAATGGCATCTCCAAGCTGGCAAAGCTTTTAGAAAATTGGGTTTGGAGTGGAAAGGGACGTCGCCATGGCTGCGCCTGTCAAAGGAAGTAGGTAAGGCCTAATTAAAGATTAGGTTTTCATGGTGACGCGAACACTACAACCAGAGTTTTCTTGTAGGAATCATCAACCATGTAATTTTGTGTAAAATAGATGAAAGAAGACGTCAAGGATTACGTTTCTTTCAAATAGGGTGAGACGCAAACAGATAAGGTAAGCGGCTTAAACAAGGAATCTTTAGTTCATGAAACTTGGCTTAAATAAGGAATCTCAAATCTAGAGGGACTTACCAAAACTTTTGGGGCGTTTGGTTTAAGATTACCATCCAGAATAAAAATACCGAAATATTACATTACTTAACACATTATTAAGAATATCATATTATCTCGTTTGGTTTGTTTGACAGGAATATAAAAGTACAATGTTTGGATGAAGTAATATAAGATAATAAAAATATATTGTTAAAAACATTTTGATGTTTCGATATAACAGATTAAGTTTAAATGAATTTTAAGCTTTTACAAATAATTTTCTAAGTATATTCGATTTATTTACTCGAATATCAAATTATTACTCCAAGTCTTCAAGATCAATTTCAAACCTTACTAAATGTGTAAAATTGTGTTTTATACTTAATATATTTTTGAAACAATTTTTACAAAGTATTTTGAACCAAAATCAAGCCTAAAATCAATTTTTCAAAGTGATGCACCGATGCACCAATCCATGCATCGATGCACCATGGAATAAATTGAACATCGAATGCATTTCATGCATCGATGCACATACTATGCATCGATGCACTCAGAGTTTTATGAAAACATCGAATGCATTTGATGCATCGATGCACTAGCCATGCATCGATGCACTCAGGCTATTTTGAAACATCGAATGCATTTTATGCATCGATGCACTCTTAGTGCAGCTAAGGGTCCAATGATCAAAATATTTGAATTTTAAACTTGATGCACCGATGCACCTTGGGTATGCATCGATGCACTGACGCTCCCAACTAATTTAATTAATTGTTTTTACACTTAAACGTCTCTATTGACTCCACTAATCATCCCTAACATTCAGAATCATTTGAAGGAGTATTTAACTAACCTTAGAAGCCATTGACAACAAGAAAACACAAGAAATAAGAATCAAGATAGAATCAAAGAGAAAATATCAAACCTCAAGTTTGAGCATTTCAAGCCTATTTTTCATTCAATATTCATTTTGCTTTCAAGAACACTACTTGTACTCAATTGTATTCATTTTTGAGTATTCTTTTCTTTGTTCTAGAATTGTGCAAACAATCTACCTTGTGAGGATTTCCTTGTAAGTTTGCAAATTTGTAATCTTCTCTTTGAGAAAGAGTGTTCTCAAGAATTGGGGTATATGTAACACTCCCAACCAGTATCCGACCCAAATACGAGTCTGAGGTGTCACATTGACTTTTCAAACTTTGACACTTAAAGAAAACAGGAAAATTTAAAACTTTCATTAAAATAAAAGCGATTTATTTACATGGATTGACCAAAACAACCAAAATCGATCAGAGCATTCATAACTGACACTTTACTTACATGCCAACATACTATACACGACAAAATACATACTTTATCAGTTACTTCTGATCTGATCCGCTAGCACTACTACTGTTCTTGCCACATATTTCCGCTATTCCTGATTCTTGGTACCTATGTGTAAATCACTTACACGCTAAGTCACAGACTTAGTGAGGCATATCATAAAAGTATGTATTCACATGTATAACCATGAATTTATGAACATGCATTTTTACCATGAATCAGGACATTCCAATGTTCATGTATCGATTACACGATAACATATATGATGATAACATGTACATATAACACATACATTCTCATACCAATTTCACTTTAATTTATCTTTGAATTGCCCATGTACATTATTGAGAACAAAGGTATGTGAGTACATAGAGGTTGTGCACTATGCTGTCACCACAACTCATATAATTCCCTCAAGGGGCACTGAATATTTGTCCCGAAGGACCACTGATTGTTCCGAAGAACCACTATGTCCCGAAGGACCACTGATAATCCCTCGACTCTTGGCATGCCAATTATACCTATAGCTCTCGTATCATATAACATGGGCTTAAATTTGAATACATTTCTCATTTCATATCTCTTTCATCACTTTTCATATAAACACATATAATCATTTTCATTAATCCACATACCTGGATTGTTTCTCTTGTACTGGCATTTGTTCCCATAATATCATATGGAAGCATAAGGAATTATTCATGAAATCACTATAAAAATTATACATGTATGCATGTACATGAATATTAAATCATGAATTCAACTATTAGAGATAGACTTATCACAAGTCTTATCTCTATACACTTTAACTAGAAAATGCACTCACCTTGGCCTTGCTTGTTTCGACTTGATCCTAATCCTTTGTTTGTTCCGGAACGAAATTATGTTCTATATCTACATAGTAATACATTGATACTAATCAGTATATTAATTAATATATTCTAAACTATCACTCCTTAGGCTAAAAAGAAAGTTATTTCCAACTTTTAATGAAGGTATGCATCGATGCACTACACCATGTATCGATGCATCCCTTGACAGGTGCATCGATGCACTACCTATGCATCGGTGCATAAATCCCATTCGATGTTTGTATTTTAAAAGGGTGCATCGATGCATCAATGGCATTCGATGTTCATTTATTTGAGAGTTCATCGGTACACCTTGAAGGTGCATCGATGCACTCAACCCAGAATTGCCATTTTCAACACGAAATTCACCCCTTTCCAACACAGCTCTTCTTATTTCACTTCCTTTAAGATTTCTAACTCGCATACATATGCTTACACTCATTACTACTCAATAACCACTTCTTTAAACTTAAAATCCAATCTTCCACATAGAATTCAAGAATTTCACCCAAATTCCAACATGTTCAAAATCTAATTCTAACTCTTCATCTTCCTTAATTAGGTAGATGACAAGTCAAATTCAACTTCTTATTCCAATTATAGACTCTATTTCAAAATTTCATTCAAAAACTCCAAATCTTTAAATCCTTCTACACTCTTCATTATGTTGTTTTACAACAAACTAAGCTTTCCTTAAGCTTAATTAGCATCTAAGGAGCAAAACCCAACTTAAATTTCAGCAAACAATTAGCTTATGAAGAATCTCACCTTTGCTATAAGTCTTCACGTTTGGGAGAAAAGAAGAGAACTCTAGAACCTTTGTTTTTCTTTCTTCTCTTCCACGTGGAGCTAATATATATATATATAAATCCCTTCTTAATTATTTTCCTTTCTAAAAGACCATTTTATCCTTCTAATCCTTCTTCCTTACAAATTAACCCTATATCAAATTACAATACTAT